ACACACGCACGCACGCACGCACACACACACCACACACACACATATATATGCACGCACACACACACACCGCACACGCACACACACACACACACACACACACACAAACATCGCAATGATGGTAATGGTGATACTAAAAGTAGAAAAGAATATTATTATAATATGTTATACAAAAAATAATGGTGATGATATCAATAACAATAACGATAATAATGACAATAGTGATAAGAATAATAATGATGATAATAATGACGATAACAGTGAGGATGATAACCATAATGGTACTGATAACAAAAGGAAACAAAATATTGATGACAGTAATTATGGTAATGATATTAATAGTGAGGACGATATAGATAAATAACAATAAGAAAAATAATGTTGTTTATAATAATAATAATAATAATAACGATAATGATAATAATGATTACAATAACAATAAACGATAATGATGGCGGCAATTTTATTAATAATAATATATCATTTATTATTATATCAATAAAGAACAAATAATAACAATAACACTAAAATAATAAATGGGATAATAATAAATATTATACCAATGATATCATCATCATCATTATCATTAAAATCAGTGATGATAATAATAATAATAACAATGATAATGATGATAACAATAATGATAATAGTGACAATAATAATATTTATGATAGCGACAATAATGCTTATGATATTCCTGATGATAACAATGATGATGATAATAATTACAATAATAATGATGATAATAATTACAATAATAATGATGATAAAAATGAAAAATAACAATAATAATGAAATATGATAATAATAATAATAATAATAATAATAATAATAATAATAATAATAATAATAATAATAATAATAACAATAATAATAATAACAATAATAATGATTAATGATGACAAAGTTTATAACAATAATCACAGTACTAATGACAAAAATAAATCCCATTCATAATAATAAGAACAATGATGATATCAATAACCCTAATGATAATGAAAATATCAATAATAATAACAACATCAGTAATAAGAACAAGAAAAATAACAACAGTAATTAGAGAGAAAGCGAGATACGCAACACAGAGAGAATATCTTTAATGTTTCTCTCGACATTCTAACTTCTTAGACCCTTTTCTTCATAGTCTTCTGACAGCCTTTGGCAGACGCTCTCGCACCTTGCCTTAATTATCTGACTTTTTTTCTGTTTACAAATGAAATCTTATGTGAGATATGCATCGTTTAGGAAATGAATGGATTATACTTTCGTGCATGATACATATGCATGTATGTATAGGGAGATACATAGGAAAAAAAACGGATATGTAATCGGATATGTACAATTTTTTTTTTCGCTTGTGAATTTCCGAGATTTTGAAGTACGAATTTTTCCTTTGGGAAAACTTAATCTTCTCGTCTTTATTACTTTTGATTTATGCAATTCTATTCTCTCATTTCATAAGCAAAACTTCGTGTATGATAAACACGAATTTATCACACAGTCACATTGTCTCTAACAACAAAACAAGATTATAATCACGCACGCTTCCAATAACCTTCAGAACAACGATCAAAGAATAAATCAAGATAAAAACGAGAATTTAAAACCAACAATGCGAGCTAAAACGAGCCAAAGAAAAGGTGTTTCGGAGACGATCATTAGCGCCCTCTCTCGGCGAACAAGTCAAAATGGATAACGAGCTCATCTTGTTTCACGGGCTGGTTCTCCGATCCGGATAGACGTCCGTAATCCCACACAGATCCACTCTGGCCAGGGCTTCGGCTTCACTAAGGGAAGACCTCGGTGGGAACACGTATTTTAGAGATGTTTAGTTTATCTTGGTTTGTATCACTGTACTTGACTTCTGTTTTTGGGTTTGTTTTGATTTGGATTGGATTTAAAAGGTAATGTGTTGCTTTGGTGTGTTGTTAGGAATTGTTTCGGGTTTGTTTCTTCATTCTATTCGTTAGAAAGGATTTTTTTTTTTTTTAATTCTGCAATCCTCTTTCGCGCACACACGCATGCGCACACACACACACACAAACGTTCACCAACAAACACATGCGTACCATTTTATATCTGCTGTTCCAAACTTTCATTTAAAAATATTTCGTTATTAAAGATTCCTTTCTGCATTTATCCTTTCCCTCAACAGCAAAAGATGGGTGGGGTAGAATCTCAATCCAAAGGCCTGTTGAATTATACAGCATAACAGCTCTAGGTGGAAGCAGGGACCTCTCTTAAATGATAACGTCTATTAGACTAACTCTAGTATGTTAGCATGATTTTAATATCTTTGATTCTAGGAAATAAAATAATATCTATGAAACGTATTATACAATACAATTATACAATTTCAACTCAAGGTATACATAAGATATACAATACAACAGACAGCTCATCCGTGATCAATCACACTAACGAACCAAAACAAACAATAAAACGATCTCTATTTCTTCCCTTTCTTCTATTTCTCCATTTTCTTGTTTCTTCCTTTCCTTCTGTTTCTCCCATTTCTTCCATTTCACGTTCATATTCTATCCGAGAAGAGAGAGAGAGAAAGAGAGAGAGGAGA